CTCTCAGCCACCAGACAGACCGTCCCCTCCTGCCTGGGTTCAGGGGCCCCGGAGGTGGGCGTGGGGGTCAGACACGGAGGTGCAGGGAGGAAGGCCAAGTTACCTGTGTGCTGCTCAGTGGGCTCCTCCCCTCTCTGAAGGGGCTGAACTCAACTCACACAGAGGTCTCTCCGTCTGGGATCTTTGGCCCCAGGAGCCAGTGGTTGTGTCTTCGGTTTTTCCCCAGCAAAGCAAGAGCAGGAGGCGGGCAGGAAGAATGCATGTGAACAGAGGAGATGGCAGCCCGTAGAGGGAGGGTTCAGTCCAGACACTGCCTCTTCCTCCTACCTGTGTGACTCTAACGACTCTCTTCAGTCCCCCCATCCTCCTGCGTTTGTTTCTCAAACACTGACGCTGCCCTTCCTCTGTGCCAGGTGAGTTGCTGGGCCCTGAGGAAGCCTGGAGGTGAATGAAACGGGTGTCGCCCCTGCTCTCCTGGAGCCTACATTCTAGTGCAGGGAGAGAGACCACACACTCGCAAGGCAAGTAAATGGGCAGCTATCAGAGCTAACAGAAGGGCTCAGGTGGGAGCTCCCCAGCAGAGCAAGACAGTGGGGAGAGAAATAGCAGCAGCTGCAGGTGGTGGTCCAGGCTGGCCTCCTAGAGGAGGTAACATTGGAGAGGAAACAGAAGGATGAGAAGGAATTCTTTTCTCTAAAATGATGTTAATAAATTATTGCAAAGATCACACTTAAGGCACCTAGTAGGCACTCAATGAATATGTGTTGGATAAATTAATAGTATACTGTATGAAAGGTGCTGGGCATACAGTAGGTGCCCAATACACAACCTTGCTCTTTACAGAAGGCCTAAGTTCCTGGAAATGTTGACTAAATTTTGAAACCCGAGCTTCATTCCCCTTTGATTTTCATTATAAAAATTGAAGATGTGTTCCTTTGGGGAAAATTCCGAGGACCTAGACTGAATAAAATTATAGTTAAGAATGTCGAAAAACCTTTTAAAATAGTGTATTTAAAGGGAAAGTGATCATTTCTGATGAAATATTAATAGTTCAGAAAATGTCACTCAGTGTTTGTGCTGCCTGGCATTTGGTTGGCTAACACCCATGTTTGGAGGAGAGCTCCAGCATCCCTGCACCGCCCAGGCCAGAGGATTCTGGAAAGTGAGCCAGCTCACTACAACATACAGCAGAGGTGGGGAACAAAGACAGGGCATGTTTCTTGGAGCTGTTTCTAAAAGATTCTGCAAAACACTGAAGTGACATACTTAGAAACAGTATAAAGCTATGTCCAATATGGTAGCCACTAGCCACATGTGTAAATTAAATGTTAAAATGTAATTAAAATGTAAATTAAATTAAGAATTCAGTTCTTTAGTTACATTAGCCACATTTCAAGTGCCACATGTGGCTTGTGGCTACCATATTGGACAGTACAGAGAATATGTTCATTATCACAAACCAAATAGACTCTAGAACCAGACTACATGGGTTCAAATTCTGAGTTCACATTTTCTGGCAATGCTGGCTTAGGCAGGTTACTCTGTGCCTTGGTGTATTAGTTTGCTAGGGCTGCCATAAAAAGGTACTACAGATGGATGGCTTAAACAACAGGAATTTATTTCCTCACAGTTCTGGAGGCTGGAAGTCTAAGATCAAGGTGTCGGCAGGGTTAGTTCCTTCTGAAGCTTCTCTCAGCTTATAGACTTCCTCTTCTTCTTGTGTCCTCACATGGTCTTCCTTCTGTGCATATTGTTTTCTCATCTCTTCTTAGAAGGACACCAGTTGTAATGGATTACAACCCACCCTGATGACTACATTTTACCTTAAAACCACTCTTTAAAGACCCTATCTCCAAATAGTCACATTTAGAGGTACTGGGGGTTAGGACTACAACATATGAAATTGGAGGCAGATGCCACTCAGTTCACAGCACTGGTCTTCTCATCTGTAAAATGGGATGTTAATTTAAAAACACCTGTCTTGTAGTATTGTTGTAGATGTTTTATTACTAAGTAATTACTTAACACATGGAAAGCCCCAAGAACCACACCTAGTGCATAAAAAGTGCTGTATCTTAGTTTCCTTGATGATTACATTGAAATGTGTGCCACTGGAGTTTTTAAATAGCAGATTTTGTGCTATGCGTAGAGAGGAAAGAACTTTAGCTGTACTGTGAAATTACTCTGTAATGGAGGAATGGGCTCAAATCATCAACTAAACCTTTTTATGGGTGAAGATTGTGCAGGGTGTGGGCCTGGGAGATGATAAGACCTCTAGTCTAGACACTGTCACAGGCTAATGAGAACAAAGCATTCCATAGGTGCCTGGTACACAGCAGGTGTGGGGAAAACTGTGTTCAGTCCCATCTCTGTTCAGCACGTAATGTTCCTACAGCCCACAGATATCTCTGTGCCCAGTAGCGCTCAGGGTACTGAAGACAAGGTAATGAAGAAATTAGGCCTCGCCCCTGCCTTTTTTAGAGCTTGAAGTGGTCATGGGCACTGTTACATCTACTAATTATATTTAGTTTGGAAAAATTCTTAAATTACCCCTTATTGCCCCTCTTATCCTGGACAGGCTGTATAATCTCTTAGACCTCAGTTTGCTTATCTGTGAAATAGGGATAATACAATAGCGACCTTGTAGGGTTGTTTGGGACCACTGAGGCAATGCACATACAGTGCTTATAATACTCAGTCTGGCACATAATGGAAAATTCTGAAAAGAGAGCATGGCACTGGGCTCTTTCAAGTTCTTCATAGGCCCTAAGCCTCATAGCCCTGTCCCTCATCTAACAGACTTTAAACACATCCGCCTCCCACCATAAATATAACTTTTCGGCTGTGAAAGAAAATGGAAAAGAGTTTTGCCATTTTTGCTTTTGAAAATGTTTGGCCAGAAGTAATTTATTTAATGTATGGTCCGCTATGATTTCTCACCAATCTCGGTGCTTACCCAGGAAACTTTGCACAGTGCGAAAACTCCAACCTACAAATTGTCATCAAAGGTAATGAAATGTTTATGAAGATTAAATTCCACAGTTAATGAAGTTGACATAATGTTGCATTTTGCCTTTAATGAAATATTTACTGATTTCGACGTTGCAGTTTTCTTCTTTGTGTTGTGAAGCTGATCGTAATGTTTTCAGGCCTCAAACTTTTTGTAGACCACTGAAAACCACAGCGGCCCCTTTTTACCATATTGATGATGCCTAATGGGCAGGTGGTGTAAACTCTTAGTTTGTGTCAAACTGCCCAGAGGTGAGGCCCATGCAGAGGGAGATTTCAGGCAATTCTTCCTGAAAGAAAAAAATATTAGAACTGGCTGGAGTGGCTCAGTTGGTTGAGCGTTGTCCTGTGCACCAAAAGGACAGTGGTTGGATTCCTGGTCAGGGCATATACCCAGGTTGCAGGTTCGATCCCTAGTTCCGGCATGTGCAGGAGGCAAATGATCAATGTTTCTCTCTCATGTTGATGTTTCACTCTCTCTCCCCTCTCCCTTCCTCTCTCTCTCTCT